TTATCTAAGTACAGATCAGTCTAATTGGAAACATCTGATTCCCATTATCTAAGTACAGATCAGTCTAATTGGAAACATCTGATTCCCATTATCTAAGTACAGATCAGTCTAATTGGAAACATCTGATTCCCATTATCTAAGTACAGATCAGTCTAATTGGAAACATCTGATTCCCATTATCTAAGTACAGATCAGTCTGGAAACACCTGATTCCCATTATCTAAGTACAGATCAGTCTGGAAACATCTGATTCCCATTATCTAAGTACAGATCAGTCTAATTGGAAACATCTGATTCCCATTATCCCATTATCTAGTACAGATCAGTCTAATTGGAAACATCTGATTCCCATTATCTAAGTACAGATCAGTCTAATTGGAAACATCTGATTCCCATTATCTAAGTACAGATCAGTCTAATTGGAAACATCTGATTCCCATTATCTAAGTACAGATCAGTCTGGAAACATCTGATTCCCATTATCTAAGTACAGATCAGTCTGGAAACACCTGATTCCCATTATCTAAGTACAGATCAGAAACACCTGATTCCCATTATTAAGTACCCATTATATTATCTAAGTACAGATCAGTCTAATTGGAAACACCTGATTCCCATTATCTAAGTACAGATCAGTCTAATTGGAAACACCTGATTCCCATTATCTAAGTACAGATCAGTCTGGAAACACCTGATTCCCATTATCTAAGTACAGATCAGTCTGGAAACACCTGATTCCCATTATCTAAGTACAGATCAGTCTGGAAACATCTGATTCCCATTATCTAAGTACAGATCAGTCTAATTGGAAACATCTGATTCCCATTATCTAAGTACAGATCAGTCTAATTGGAAACATCTGATTCCCATTATCTAAGTACAGATCAGTCTGGAAACATCTGATTCCCATTATCTAAGTACAGATCAGTCTGGAAACATCTGATTCCCATTATCTAAGTACAGATCAGTCTGGAAACATCTGATTCCCATTATCTAAGCACAGATCAGTCTGATTCCCATTATCTAAGCACAGATCAGTCTGGAAACATCTGATTCCCATTATCTAAGTACAGATCAGTCTAATTGGAAACATCTGATTCCCATTATCTAAGTACAGATCAGTCTAATTGGAAACACCTGGTACAGAAACATCTGATTCCCATTATCTAAGTACAGATCAGTCTAAACATCTGATTCCCATTATCTAAGGAAACATCTGATTCCCATTATCTAAGTACAGATCAGTCTGGAAACACTAATTGGAAACACCTGATTCCCATTATCTAAGTACAGATCAGTCTGGAAACATCTGATTCCCATTATCTAAGTACAGATCAGTCAGATCAGTCTGGAAACATCTGATTCCCATTATCTAAGTACAGATCAGTCTGGAAACATCTGATTCCCATTATCTAAGTACAGATCAGTCTGGAAACATCTGATTCCCATTATCTAAGTACAGATCAGTCTGGAAACATCTGATTCCCATTATCTAAGTACAGATCAGTCTAATTGGAAACATCTGATTCCCATTATCTAAGTACAGATCAGTCTGGAAACATCTGATTCCCATTATCTAAGTACGCCTGATTCCCATTATCTAAGTACTGATCAGTCTGGAAACATCTGATTCCAATTATCTAAGTACAGATCAGTCTGGAAACATCTGATTCCCATTATCTAAGTACTGATCACTCTAATTGGAAACATCTGATTCCCATTATCTAAGTACTGATCAGTCTAATTGGAAACATCTGATTCCCATTATCTAAGTACTGATCAGTCTAATTGGAAACATCTGATTCCCATTATCTAAGTACTGATCAGTCTAATTGGAAACACCTGATTCCCATTATCTAAGTACAGATCATCTGATTCCCATTATCTAAGTCTGGAAACACCTGATTCCCATTATCTAAGTACTGATCAGTCTAATTGGAAACACCTGATTCCCATTATCTAAGTACTGATCAGTCTAATTGGAAACACCTGATTCCCATTATCTAAGATCAGTCTAATTGGAAACATCTGATTCCCATTATCTAAGTACAGATCAGTCTGGAAACATCTGATTCCCATTATCTAAGTACAGATCAGTCTGGAAACATCTGATTCCCATTATCTAAGTACAGATCAGTCTAATTGGAAACATCTGATTCCCATTATCTAAGTACAGATCAGTCTAATTGGAAACATCTGATTGGGAAACATCTGATTCCCATTATCTAAGTACAGATCAGTCTGGAAACATCTGATTCCCATTATCTAAGTACAGATCAGTCTGGATCAGTCTGGAAACATCTGATTCCCATTATCTAAGTACAGATCAAGTCTGATCAGTTGGAAACATCTGATTCCCATTATCTAAGTACAGATCAGTCTTCCCATTCCCATTATCTAAGTACAGATCAGTCTGGAAACAGATCAGTCTGATTCCCATTATCTAAGTACAGATCAGTCTGGAAACATCTGATTCCCATTATCTAAGTACTAAGATCAGTCTAAACATTGGAAACAGTCTAAAACTGATTCCCATTATCTAAGTACAGATCAGTCTGGAAACATCTGATTCCCATTATCTAAGTACTGATCACTCTAATTGGAAACATCTGATTCCCATTATCTAAGTACAGATCAGTCTGTACAGATCAGTCTCATCTGATTCCCATTATCTAAGTACAGATCAGTCTAAACACCTGATTCCCATTATCTAAGTACAGATCAGTCTAATTGGAAACACCTGATTCCCATTATCTAAGTACAGATCAGTCTAATTGGAAACATCTGATTCCCATTATCTAAGTACAGATCAGTCTGGAAACACCTGATTCCCATTATCTAAGTACAGATCAGTCTGGAAACATCTGATTCCCATTATCTAAGTACAGATCAGTCTAATTGGAAACACCTGATTCCCATTATCTAAGTACAGATCAGTCTAATTGGAAACATCTGATTCCCATTATCTAAGTACAGGTACAGATCTAAGTACAGATCAGTCACCTGGAAACATCTGAAACATTCCCATTATCTAAGTACAGATCAGTCTGGAAACACCTGATTCCCATTATCTAAGTACAGATCAGTCTGGAAACACCTGATTCCCATTATCTAAGTACAGATCAGTCTGGAAACATCTGATTCCCATTATCTAAGTACAGATCAGTCTAATTGGAAACTTAAAAACCTATCAGTGATTGTTTCAGATTTATACAGGTTTCTTAGTCTGTAATAAGGATGATTTCAGTCGACTAGAAACCTATTTAGTCTTCAGCAGGTGATACTAAAGGATTCGTCTGATACATTCAGCTGTTCTGTTGCATGTGGAATGCTTCTTTGCATTATGACGTCTTTCTTTCCATCAATTTACTTTGCTGGTGTTTGCAACAACTCTTTTCTCTCAATATAATGTGCCCATTGTAAATTTTTATAATTATATGTTGTACAGTGTGATAATTTGTTGTGAGCATGTAAATTGAACTCTTAGAAAGATGGCATGTTTGAAAAAGTTTTAAAGTAATCCATTAGCAATATGTACATTTTTTAGTGTACATTGAACATAACTTTAGTAATACCTGTGCTCTTTTAAATCAGTTGAACAAATGGAAAAACATACTTTAAAGCAAATAATTCTGTTGAATTGAGCTTAAGTCTTACTAAATCTGATTTCGTTTTAGATATTGTAAAAAAAATGAGAAAGTAACTAACAAAACAAAACAAAAATTCCTCACTAAAATTTGATTATACCTGAAGATGTTTAGCTGTTTCTAATCTACAGTAATTTGAAGTAGATATTCCAGACTAAACATTATGTGATGATCTTTTTTCTGAACAGCTAGTTCAATATATCCTGTTAAATACCATGATATTTTAGAGGCCACACCCTCTCCAGTTCAGAAGGCCTCCTGACTCTGTGTTGTTTGTATTAGAAGTCATGTCCTCTCCAGTTAAGAAGGCCTCCTGACTCTGTGTTCTTTGTATTAGAAGTCATGTCCTCTCCAGTTAAGAAGGCTTCCTGACTCTGTGTTCTTTGTATTAGAAGTCATGTCCTCTCCAGTTAAGAAGGCCTCCTGACTCTGTGTTTTTGTATTAGAAGTCATGTCCTCTCCAGTTAAGAAGGCCTCCTGACTGTGTTGTTTGTATTAGAAGTCATGTCCTCTCCAGTTAAGAAGGCCTCCTGACTCTGTGTTCCTTGTATTAGAAGTCATGTCCTCTCCAGTTAAGAAGGCCTCCTGACTCTGTGTTGTTTGTATTAGAAGTCATGTCCTCTCCAGTTAAGAAGGCCTCCTGACTCTGTGTTCTTTGTATTAGAAGTCATGTCCTCTCCAGTTAAGAAGGCCTCCTGACTGTGTTGTTTGTATTAGAAGTCATGTCCTCTCCAGTTAAGAAGGCCTCCTGACTCTGTGTTGTTTGTATTAGAAGTCATGTCCTCTCCAGTTAAGAAGGCCTCCTGACTCTGTGTTCTTTGTATTAGAAGTCATGTCCTCTCCAGTTAAGAAGGCCTCCTGACTCTGTGTTTTTGTATTAGAAGTCATGTCCTCTCCAGTTAAGAAGGCCTCCTGACTCTGTGTTGTTTGTATTAGAAGTCATGTCCTCTCCAGTATTAGAGTCATGTCCTCTCCAGTTAAGAAGGCCTCCTGACTCTGTGTTCATTGTATTAGAATTCATGTCCTCTCCAGTTAAGAAGGCCTCCTGACTCTGTGTTCCTTGTATTAGAAGTCATGTCCTCTCCAGTTAAGAAAGCCTCCTGACTCTGTGTTCATTGTATTAGAAGTCATGTCCTCTCCAGTTAAGAAGGCCTCCTGACTCTGTGTTCCTTGTATTAGAAGTCATGTCCTCTCCAGTTAAGAAAGCCTCCTGACTCTGTGTTCATTGTATTAGAAGTCATGTCCTCTCCAGTTAAGAAGGCCTCCTGGCTCCTGACTCTGTGTTGTTTGTATTAGAAGTCTTGTCCTCTCCAGTTAGGAATTCTTCTTGACTCCTTGTTGTTTGTATTACAGACATGCCATTCACAAGCGAAGAAAGCATCACAAATTTGGACCTGATACACTGATGAGTATGGCCAACCTTTCCAGCATTAACAGTGCAGGCAGTATACATGATTTTCACAAATTTGCTCTCCACAACAATGGTGTAGCACCACCTCTACACTTCCATTTAGCTGCCAGTATCAACCCAGAAACAGGTACACAGCTTTCACCCATAGTTTCTGAAAAATGTTGTTTAACTTTGGTGTAATTGTATTTTCTTATATCACTTTGTACTTATTTGTGAAAGATTTTATTGACTCATTTGAACTGGTTGGCTTTGTTGAACTTAGTGAACTTTTTGACCTTTGACCTTTGACCTTGCTATGTTTCCAGATATCCCTCTCTTACCAGTTGTTGGTACAAAGGGTGAAGCCCAGCATAACTTCCAGCTTCACTGGCTTAATAATAAGGAGCTACAGTTTACAATGGAGGCTGAGGTGATCCTACAAGACCTGCACAAGTCCAGCATGAGCCATCAACACAATGAACAAGACATTGGGTCAGACAGCGATGGCTTCCCTGAACACACATCACACGCCACACACAATGGAGAGGAGCACGATTTAGAAGGTGTCCAAATATAAGATATTTGTTGGCAGGGGAGGGATGGTAGAGCTTTAATTGGCTAGATCAGGGGTGGAAAGGGGACAAGGATAACGGAATCAGTCAGGGGATAGTAGAGACTAGAAGGGGCTAGAAAGAAAAACAGTTCATGTGAGAAAGGCAAGAGCTAAACAGGAAGAGAAAAGGAGAATGGAAGAAAACAGATGAAAGAGAAGAAGAAAAAGAAAAACTATGATTATGGAAAAATATACAGATTTTTATGTTGATGTTGTCTTATTGGTAGGTCATCCTAAAAAGAAGAAGTCTGGTCTCTTCAAGAAGAAGCACAAGAGTCATCGGAGTCCAAAAGAAACCAAAGAACTCGGGAATTTTGCTGAGAGTCAGTCCAGCATCACATCTGAACAGGGAGACCACATGTCGGAGGGCACTTCCAGTGGGGGAATGTCCCCGGATGTTCCTGTAGGTTTAATAATGTTTTGTATTGAGGATTTCTATTGGTTAAGATGTAGAAAGAATATCTCATTTTAAGCTTCACTTTATTTATTAGAAAAAAAAGGTAAAACTTATTTAGAAATCTCTCCAACATAATTTAACTATCTACAAGCATACATAAAACATTCTTATTGTCTTTACAGCATTAAAAAGCAATTTGCTTTAGAATCCAATATATTTATGTTTGAATATAATTTTTATTTCTATTTCCTTGGACAGGGTTCAGTGATTGATTCCTTAGACAGAAAGATTGAAGGTCTTCTGAAGGACTGGCATCAGAGTGCAGACATGTTGTTTAGTATACACCCTGTGGATGGTAGCTTCCTTGTATGGTAAGTAGCTGACAGCTTAAAGAGGATCCATTTTTGTGTCACATATATAATGATGTTTTTGTTGTCTGCTATCTGTCGTCTGTGGATTCCTCAGAGTAACTCAGTGGTATTTGTCTAATCAGTTTGTACTAAAACAGCTAAGCTGGCTTCTTATACATTATCCTCAGCTTTGTAATATTTTTGAATTATTTAGCTAGAAATCAAAATCAAAAAGACAATTATGTTAGAAATTATTCAGTGCTGAAGTCAGCAAACAGTTTATTAAGCTTACATTGATAACTGTCCATTATAGTGTAATAGACCTAATGGAGCTTTGTTATTGACCAGTATCACAACGTATATAGATTTACATGTTTATATGACTTGAGTTTATGAGATCTACATAATCGCTGTTGGTGTTGCCTTTTCACGGTTGTGCTTTCCAACATTAACTTGTGTTTACTCATTTGCCCTATTTCTGATAGATTACTTCATACATCACATGGCCTACTCTTTGTTACAGGCTTGTTGATTGGATGGACGAGTACAACCCATACTGTTTCCGTCAGGCCCAAGTCAGCTTTTCATCGTGCCTTCCACGTGCATTTCCAGTGCCAGATGCCCGGACGATGGCAAGCAATCTCCTTATGTACTGTAACTACAGTAAAATGGACATAAAATCAGCCATGCGTATCAGTGAAAACCGGTTTTCCCCCTGTAACCCTACAGCCCCTACAAAAATACAGCCCCAACCTGCTCCGGCCACTGGGAAATGTTTCCCTGGACAGAATGATAACATGCTTATACCTAATGTTTTACTTATCACTAAACACTTCAATGGTTCCTTAAACCAATGGCAGATCAGTTTTGCAGATAGTTCGAAATTCTCAACAGTAGTCAGTGTTGCCCATGCATCAAGGGCATGTGGACATAGATTCCGGACAAATTCTGCAGCATGTCACCCAGTATTACCCTTGTTATTGACAACATCACACCACAATGTCCCCAAACCTCTGACACCATGTAACGGGGATCACCATAGCAATGGTATCGGTGATGACAACAATGAGGAAGGTTGTGGAGGATTACCTGGTCAGGAAAGCCTTGTAGGGGGTGTGGAGTTCTGCAGTGAGCTGATTCTCTGGCGAGTAGATCCAGTTGGACCTCTTTCTAAGTCAGGTGGAATCATAGAGTTGGCTCGTATCAACTCCCCGCAGCTGTCTGCCTTCGACAATGTTGCATGGGTGCCTACACTCCTACCCAGGTATAAACCCTTCTGATGAAATGTACCTCGTCTATTTTTAATTTAAAAAGAATTAAAAAAGTAAAATCTTTTTGATTGGCTACTCAATGAATCAGGAATTCCCTCATTTCAATGATTTTACTGGGGATATAGAAAAAATTGTAATTATCCTGAATTTCCACTTAATCACTGTCAGAAGGATCATTTATTTCAATGGTAAGAAAATCTGTGATAAAATAGAGGATTAATTCCTGGATTTATTTGGTGGAATACACAAGATTCTCATAAATACAGCAAACTCAAGTCAGGTTACCTTGATATTTATTTAATGTAAAGAGATAGTTTATAGTTTAGCATCGGTCCAGTGATATATGATAGTTTATAGTTCAGCATCGGTCCAGTGATATATGATAGTTTATAGTTCAGCATCAGTCCAGTGATATATGATAGTTTATAGTTCAGCATCGGTCCAGTGATATATGATAGTTTATAGTTCAGCATCGGTCCAGTGATATATGATAGTTTATAGTTCAGCATCAGTCCAGTGATATATGATAGTTTATAGTTCAGCATCGGTCCAGTGATATATGATAGTTTATAGTTCAGCATCGGTCCAGTGATATATGATAGTTTATAGTTCAGCATTGGTCCAGTGATATATGATAGTTTATAGTTCAGCATCGGTCCAGTGATATATGATAGTTTATAGTTCAGCATCGGTCCAGTGATATATGATAGTTTATAGTTCAGCATCGGTCCAGTGATATATGATAGTTTATAGTTCAGCATAGATATATGATAGTTTATAGTTCAGCATCGGTCCAGTGATATATGATAGTTTATAGTTCAGCATCGGTCCAGTGATATATGATAGTTTATAGTTCAGCATCGGTCCAGTTATATGATAGTTTATAGTTCAGCATCGGTCCAGTGATATATGATAGTTTATAGTTCAGCATCGGTCCAGTGATATATGATAGTTTATAGTTCAGCATCGGTCCAGTGATATATGATAGTTTATAGTTCAGCATCGGTCCAGTGATATATGATAGTTTATAGTTCAGCATCGGTCCAGTGATATATGATAGTTTATAGTTCAGCATCGGTCCAGTGATATATTCCTGTTTGAAGTGAGGTAGCCCACATGATGATGATTTATCATTTCTGTTGTAGTTCTACACTAGGATCCTACAGTAACTCACCCAGTGCCCTGTTTGTGGCCTCTAATGGGAACAGTTTGATGATGTATCAGGCAGTTATTGATGCTCGTACTCTACTCCTTGAGATGGGAAGTCAGAAAAAAGATGTAAGATACAATGTATTTAGTTCAGACCTTATACCTGATAAAACTATCGATCTTTCAATCACTGTATAATAATTTTGAAATTATACTGCATACTTTCTTGCCTTATTGGACTCTTTTGTCTGTGGATATCAATTTTCATGCTTTTATCAGTATTTATCTGCCATAAAGTGGTCTATTATTGTACTGTATATATCACAATGATAGATATTGAGATGTAATGTGATGTTAAAATTTTGCCTTTTGTCTTCAAATTTTTATTTTTGAAAAGAACAAATGTATGCAATGATTCATATAGATTTTAATGTCAAGTTTTTGTTTAGTTGTATAAGGGTTTGTGATATTTCAGTTACAGAAGGGGATGAGTTTTTCCAGTAATACTAGCTCTGGGTATAGTGTAGAGACCCCGCGAGCTGCTGGTGAACTGTTTAACATTGTCAGTCTACAGTCTTCTGCCCGACCGGGCTGTATCATTGAAATGGAAGCCATTGCTGATGCCAAGCAGGTAACTCTATACATAGTGATACTTTACCAAGGAATGATAAACTAGCTGTAAGGACCAGAGTAATCAATAATGTTATAGATATGTAAACAGAGTTAGACAGGAATAACACTGATAACCACAGGAATGACACTGATAACCACAGGAATAACACTGATAACCACAGGAATAACACTGATAACCACAGGAATAACACTGATTACCACAGGAATAACACTGATAACCACAGGAATAACACTGATAACCACAGGAATAACACTGATAGCCACAGGAATAACACTGATAGCCACAGGAATAACACTGATAACCACAGGAATAACACTGATAGCCACAGGAATAACACTGATAACCACAGGAATAACACTGATAGCCACAGGAATAACACTGATAACCACAGGAATAACACTGATAACCACAGGAATAACACTGATAACCACAGGAATAACACTGATAACCACAGGAATAACACTGATAACCACAGGAATAACACTGATAACCACAGGAATAACACTGATAACCACACTGATAACCACAGGAATAACACCACAGGAATAACACTGATAACCACAGGAATAACACCACAGGAATAACACTGATAACCACAGGAATAACACTGATAACCACAGGAATAACACTGATAACCACAGGAATAACACTGATAACCACAGGAATAACACTGATAACCACAGGAATAACACTGATAACCACAGGAATAACACTGATAACCACAGGAATAACACTGATAACCATACTGATAACCACAGGAATAACACTGATAACCACAGGAATAACACTGATAACCACAGGAATAACACTGATAACCACATTACATTGTTTGGAGTCGGGAGGTTAACCCTGATAGGACTGTTATATATGTCTTATGTTTCATATCGTGAAGTACTTTTTGCATTGTCTGAAGCTATTTATTAGTGTTTTGTGGTACAAGCTTAGTGTTTAAGTATTTAAACAAAATTCATCTTATTCACTTTTGTTGTTTTTTTATGATCTACGAAAACAAAAACTTATACATAATTTTTTCATGTGACACAATACAATTACAGGTGGTTTTATATGTTTCATGAATCTGTTTAGGCCAAATGTTGAACAAAATAGAAGGAGTGAAGCACAACATCAGCTGGTGACATTAGCGTAAAGGTCTAACTAGGGACTTGGTTATAAATACCTGTCTGGCTATTTTGTTTGTGAAAGATAAAGATTTCAAAATTCATCTTATTCACTTTTGTTGTTTTTTTATGATCTACGAAAACAACAAAAACTTAATTTTTTCATGTACAATTACAGGTGATTTTAAATGTTTCATGAATCTGTTTAGGCCAAATGTTGAACAAAATAGAAGGAGTGAAGCACAACATCAGCTGGTGACATTAGCGTAAAGGTCTAACTAGGGACTCGGTTATAAATACCTGTCTGGCTATTTTGTTTGTGAAAGATAAAGATTTCATAGTAGAGATGCAGTCATCATTAGTTCCAGATCTCTGATGTCTGGATACAGATCTCAGATGTCTGGATACAGATCTCAGATGTCTGGATACAGATCTCTGATGTCTGGATACAGATCTCTGATGTCTGGATACAGATCTCTGATGTCTGGATACAGATCTCTGATGTCTGGATACAGATCTCTGATGTCTGGATACAGATCTCTGATGTCTGGATACAGATCTCTGATGTCTGGATACAGATCTCTGATGTCTGGATACAGATCTCTGATGTCTGGATACAGTATATAAAATTGTTTTTTCCCACAGGACTGGCAGCAGACACAGCTGCTTCACGTCTTCCAAGAACAGTTGGTAACAGGACGTCCAAGTAACAATCCTAATGGAATGGAAGCCATTGTTGACCTGAGAGAATCGGGATCCTTCTCAGAAAACTTTTACCTGGTAGTATTGGAAAGAAATAAGGATAAAGGTTCTACCATCCATATGTGGAAGATCAATATTGCATCACAGACTGGTCTCCAGGATGGTGAGTTTTCAGGGACTAGTCTGCTATACGTACAGCTCAAACAATATAAATTAAGGTGCTTTGAAATTGTTTCCACAGCTAGAAGTATAAAGAATGGGTTGTGAATTAACTCATTGACTGTTTAATGGGATACTTGATTTGTAGTCTGTGGAAGACTGCTTTATATTAATATCTTATTTTTATGTTGCTAGGTAACCAAAGCCGACACTATGTCCCAGATAACAACTTTGTACAGGAGGATGAGTCAGACACTGACTCCTACATAGGGTCACCGGTTGGTGGACTGCCCAAATCAACTGCCGTGGTTCGACTCACCTTCTCCACAACAAAGGTAACACATAGACACAAATTATATTGACAATTGGTTACTTACTGGAAGACCAACACTCCTGGTGAGATACCAACTTTCAATAAATGTAAATTACAAGTACGTAAGAATATTAACAAAATTTTATACAAGGTAAAATTGAAGTTCAAACTTACAATTGAGATAACTTTTACACTCAATATTGCAACAGATAACCTTAAATGCACCTCAGTACATATGCACTAACCTGGTTATATGTTACACATTGGTTCAGGGGGAAGTGTGGTGTCAGTGACATATACCAAAAAATCAATAAAGGGTGCATTTTCAGCAATCTTTGTTGTGTGAGTAAGTATTTAAAAGCCATATCTGTTGAACAGGTGTGTTCACAGCCTCTCTCTCTACCTGATGGTGTGAGTGTTGTTAGCGCCTCAGTCTCAGCTGGCCATCTTAGCTCTGCCTCCATCTACCCAGCATGCCTTGCTCCTTACCTGCTGGCAACAGCATGTTCTGATGGTAAGACACGCTTCTGGCGATGCAACTTGAAAGCTGCGCATGCATTAAACCATTATGAGATGACATGTAGCACAACAAGTTATGAACTAGCTGTAGAGGAAGAAGACGGAATACGGCGACCCACTGTCTCCACAGTAACACGTAGTGATGTTATGGATACAACTTTCTCCTGGGCAGAATGGCACATGATGGGGCAGTCTGAAGCAAGCTTGTTACATGTCCGAGGTAAGCATGAACTTCAAATGTAACGGTCGTATTCTTAAGCAAGAATCATTATGTAGTTCAGCACATGTCTGACATTGGTAAATAGTTTGTGATGCAAAATTATTAGCTGGAACATATTTCAGAATATCAATATATTGATAAGAGATACTAGTATGCAAAGTTGATAATTTATATTGTCATAATATGTAAAGATTGATTTTGCCCTTTTTGTGTTTAAAGATATATTAAACTGATTCACATTGTTGTCCTTTTTCAGACTTTTCTGACCTCAGTAAACAGTTTTAAAGTTTCTTATCCTTCTTGATAGGTCACCCCATTTCTGTGAGCTGTGCGTACAGTGGCCGGGTGGCTGTTGCTTATCGTCTGGGTGGTGTGCGGTCAGCCCCAGACAATGACAACAAATATGTCAACCTCTATGTTGCTGTGTATGAGTGTGAATCAACAGGTGGGATTTAATTGAAGACAAACATCCAATGCATGTTACCATGTTAAAAAAAAAATTAAGCTGTCAATGTTTTCACTTTCTTTTAAGGTTCTTGATGGTTAAAGTCTCAATGATACAGAAATATAAAGTATCTGTAGTTTTGTATTCTCTCATAATTTCCAAGGATGTGCAATATTTCAAAACTCTCAAGATAAATGTCTCGATTTAAACATATTTTGATGTGAAATTCCTACATACAATGCTTTTATTTTCGTTTTTGTCAAGTAAGAAATCTAAATTTTCAATGTAATCATTATCATTTCTCCTCGTTTTCATTATCTACAGGAGGTTCTGAGTGGACACTGGAGGATACCATAGAATTAAAAAACATAAGTATTCCTGACCCTAAAGCAGAAATAGATCTCAATTTTATATTTACATCAGAAAATCATTCTTCACGATCATCACACTACGAGGATGATAGTCCTGGGACGCTGTCTCCGTCATCCTCGCTTGTTAATATGACTCGAACAAAGTCGGTACCCAGCCTCAGTACCATCTTCACAGTGAGGAAGTGTATAGCGGAACATGGCAACAAAACTGGTATGTTACAACAGAAACATTTAGTTCAGCTTGACTGGGTATCCACAGAGGATGGAAATCATATCTTAACAGTAGGTGTCGGGTCACGTATACTCATGTACTCCCAGGTATCCAATGACATTGTACAGTCTTCCAAACGTGGTATCTCAGGTCAGACTACTGACAAAAAGAACACTCAGTCTTTCAGTCAGTCCATGAAGGATGTCGGCCACAGACGTAGTGTGTTCCAGAAATCCAAGTCTATGGTGGTAGATGATCGCCAGGAGGAGATTAAGTGGATGAAACTGCGCTCAATAGATCTATCAACAGCTGATGGATTACCTCCCTTACCAATGCATTTGTCATGGGTTCGGGGTGGGATCTTGGTTGTTGGTATGGACAATGAAATGCATGTGTACAGTCAGTGGAGAGGAGCAGGTACTAATGATGTTCTACCTGTGGAGGAAAATGATCAAAGGAGTTTTGAGGATGCTGGTCTCTCCATGAACATATCTAGTCTAAAACCTCAGCAACATTTTAAACCTTCATATTCCATGCCAAGTTTCAAGCATTTGAACACACTGAGTTTAAAAAAAGAGAAGTTACAAGGCTCTGAATCTAATCTCTTAAGGTTTAGTTTGTCAAAGGACAAAAGTGAAAGTTTGACTAGCTTGTCAGCCATTCATGAGTTTGGACTATTTGAGGCGGCTCGACAAGCAAATCCAGTCCTACCACAGTACCATCCTAAAAAGCTGATGGAGCTTCTAAATTTTGGTAAAATACGGAGAGTGAAAGCCATACTTGCCCATTTAGTTCGATATGTCGCTGGTGGGGATATACACCAGATGGAGGATACTGAGGACTATGATAAGGAAGACGCAAAATGGAATCAGAATCGTCCTCGAGGGATTTCAGTCAGTGGTGCTAGTCCTTGTGACATGCCACGTCTTCAGGAGGAACTCAAACTGGATTACAAGGAGATCAGCTCCATTCCACCTCTCCCTATGTATGCTCTTCTAGCTGCAGATGAGGATAACACAGTCGCTAAAGCTGATACCATCACTTCTGGGGGTCAAGTCAGCACGGCCATGGAGCAAGACTATGGTGATCTATTTGATAGTGGCCCTAATCTGGATGATGACCTGGACACAACAATTGGAGCATCATCTGCGGATAGTCGTACATCACGGACGAGACTACAGTCCACTGTTACAGCTTCTCGTCAAAACCCATACTACTTTGGTCCGGAGTACTCACTGGCACTGACTAGTCACCTAACCCATACACAGCTTCCTGGATTGTCCAGTCTTGACCAGATGTATTTGCTAGCGCTTGCTGACACTGTAGCCAACACCAAAATGGACTTTGCTGATCGCATGGAAACAGATAAACCAGGTATGAAGTCAATTTGTAATATTTAACATAACAGATACATTGATGTTAACTGAATTACATTGATTGTCTTTAGTAAGGATCTCAGGTCTTTAAGAAAGGGTGGTCAGGTGGCCGGGGTAACTTGTGCATTTACTTTTACAAAAACAAGAGTGATTAGTATAAGTTGACCTATTTTGTCTTGCAATTGTTTTAAAAGATAAAGGTTGTATTTTCAGACAGAATTTGAATGATAAATCTATTTCAGATTCCAGTATGCAGGAGAATTTAAAGGCAGGAAATGCTGCTGAGTCTATGGATGACTGTGGTTTAAGATTTATTCTAGCGATGCGACATCACACCTACCTGCTGCGTACGCTACAGCCCAGACAGAGGATAGCTCTACAGCAACAAGGGCTAAAGTCTTTTAATTTGGTGTGGGGCTTCCACTCTGAAGCTACAGAGGTAAGGAGCCAGTGGATGCTACAGATACATGGGCTTAGATTCTAAAAATTAGTGCAGGGTTTTCACTCCAAAGCTACATATAGGTGAGTGGGTGCTACAGGATCTGAAGTCTTTGTTTGGGGTTTCCACTCTAAAGCTAAAGAGGTAAGGAGCCAGTGGTGCTACAGATACTGGGTTTAAAGTCTTTAACTTCATGTAAGGTTTCCCTTTTGAGGTTAAAGAGATAAGGGTTCAGTACAGTGAGCTACAGCACAACAGTAGAACAGTAATTATGTCACTAGTGATTATGTACATCGTAGATTATGAACCTTGTCTATATGTATACAGTATTAATTTTCTGCCTCAGGAACTGCTCTCCTACATTCCTGGTGTACAGCGGGATGATCCAACATGGGAGGAGCTGAAACAGTTTGGTGCTGGCTGGTGGATCAACAACATCAATATACTCAGACGTTGTATTGAAAAGGTAGATATTGCTCTACCCTGGTATTAAATGTAGATCAGTAGAGAGTAAATATTGCTCTACCCTGGTATTAAATGTAGATCAGTAGAGAGTAAATATTGCTCTACCCTGGTATTAAATGTAGATCAGTAGAGAGTAAATATTGCTCTACCCTGGTATTAAATGTAGATCAGTAGAGAGTAAATATTGCTCTACCCTGGTATTAAATGTAGATCAGTAGAGAGTAAATATTGCTCTACCCTGGTATTAAATGTAGATCAGTAGAGAGTAAATATTGAACATTCTCTGGCAAAGCCAATAGAAAGTAAATACTCTGACATTGCATAGAGAGCATACATATAAATTTACATAACATTGAATATACAGGTAACACTACTGTACAATAAGCTGATGATAGTTAAGTCAAGTCTTTTGTCTTACTAATTCTTACACTTGTACTCAAGCAGTTTAGTATGATAGCTTTGATGTTGAACTGATGTGATCTGATATCTGAAATGCATCAGGGAAATGGTAGTGACTAAGAACCTGCACTGAATACCACAATTTTTGAAGTGTACCATAGTTTAGTATCTGGCAGAATCCAACTAGTTGGAACAGATTTTCACACTTAATGTAAATGTACAAGGAATAGGTCTAACATCAGTGTATACTGTTGTACCTCGTACACATTTATACCTACACGAAGGATCCTCATGGAGGTCCTTGTGTTAACATGGAGGTAGTATTCTGTATTATCGTTTTACTTCACGTTTTGATATTTTTGTTTATAGATTGCAAAAGCTGCATTCCAGAGAAGGAAGGACCCAATGGATTCTGCAATATTTTACCTTGCCATGAAAAAGAAAAATGTGCTATGGGGATTATACAGGTAAGAAAATAATCTTGTTAAGTACTGAACAGGAAAGAATGTGTATGAAGTCTACAAACTATGGTAAAATCTATATAAAGCAATTAAAAGTTTTGAAGTCTATTTAGTTCAGTGTCCTGTTAAGTTTTTACAGTTTATTTGAACTTTAGCTTAAGACTATTCTGTCTCCAAAATGGAAGCCAAATATTAAAGTTTTTCTTAACTTCCCAAATTTTAATGACATTGTGTGAACTTTACAATAAGTGACAAAGGCGGAAAAAAATCTGTAAAAAATTGATATCAACGGGGGAAAAAAATTAAAAACCAGGTTAAAGCTTAATCAACTTATTTGAAATGTACATTATCTGTTTTTTTCTTCTACCTAGGTCTATCGATGATAAGAAAATGATGCAGTTTTTCCGAAATGACTTCAGCCAAGACAGGTGGAGGAAAGCAGCATTGAAGAATGCATTTGCTCTTCTAGGGCGCCAGAGGTTCACACATGCTGCTGCTTTTTTCCTGTTAGCTGGGGCATTGAATGATGCTGTTGAGGTAACCCTTGCCATCATTTTCTGTAAAGCCTGCTATCACATTCTTTCTCTGGGAGGAATTGTGTTCCAAGTAACTGGATGTTGTTATGAAAATAAAAATTGACTTAACTCTTAATTTACATAAACCAGAATCATGATATATATAGAATCAGCTGTCTGTGTCAATAGACAATCTAGTGTTGAAATCTACAGTTTTCATCTGAAATTTGTTTTTGTCATAATAACCTCAGTTGGAAGTTTTGTATTTTATCGTCGAATCATACCGCATCTTCTGTTAGTGAGGTCACATCAGCACAACTTTTAATATCTTAAGAAGAATATTGAGAAACATTGTATATGTAGTCCCCACATGTTTATGCTTTTCAACTGTTAGTAATCTTTCAATTCAACTTCATAAAATTTGTTTGAAATTGCCAATTCCCTTGAAACCTGATTATTGAAATAACTATAGTTAGTCTTTTTTCCAGATCTAGTAAAGGAACAGGAATTTATTGAGGGGAGATATGCGGAACTGATAAACTAGATAATTTGACCAGTTTTTTGTTTTTTGCAGGTGTGCCTGGATAAGCTCAATGACATCCAGTTAGCACTTGTCGTCTGTCGGTTATATGATGGTGAAGACATGATGCCTGACAGTGTCAAAAAGATTCTCTATATGAGCATTCTTGGTTGTGATGAAAAGGGAGATAACTATGACAGCTCTAAAGCTCATCCTGACCCTTTTCTGCGGAGTATGGCAATGTGGTCCCTCAAGGATTACCGTGGTTCACTGAACACATTGTTACACTCCAGTGACAGTCATCACCACAAAGTGGTGGATAGTGTTGAGCTTGAGGGTCACAATGCTATGCCTAGTGTGTTCAACTTCTACAATTTCTTACGCACACATCCGCTACTGGTGAGGCAGCGGATAGCTGCCACAGGTCAAACCAAGAGGAATAAAAACATCATTCCTGGGTTTACACGACAACAGACCGTTGTGTTAGATGATAGTTCTGTGTTTGTAGATAAAGTGACACCCATGGAAAGAAAACTATTCTTCACAACAGCTCACTCTCATTATATGAATGGATGTCCATTACTTGCCCTGGAAGTTCTGTCTAAACTACCTCCTGTTATAGAAGATAAGAAAGCTCCAGACATAGACTTTGAAAGTGAGTCATCGTCCAAGGATGACTGTATAAATACAGGCACACTGGAGGATGATTCCACAGATTGGAGTAAACCTGTTGCTAATGGGTTTCAGGACACATCCAGTGGCTTTGACTGGAGCACTCCAGTGTCATCTGCTAAGGAAACGATGGACAGTATGGATTGGGGGGCACCAGTCAGTAAGTTTGGTACGGAGGATGATGTACCAAATTTCAACATTTCCTCAGGAGAAGATGAGGATGAAGATGAGGATGTGATATCTACAAGTCATTCTAAAAATAAGTTGGAAAAGTTACCTACAATTGTTGTGGAGGAACCAAGTCCTATTCTCCAGAGTAGTGAGGATACATCCCCAGAAAAACTCCCAGAAAAGGTCAAGGACAAAGGTCATCAGGTGGACATCTTTGCCCAGCAGTACAAGTTCATTGCTTGTCTCAAGGTACTACTTGTGTGCATGTTGGAAGATCCTGGTGTCAGTATTATATAGATACATGAGGGGATGTAGTTTTTTTGAGAATAGAAATAACCAAGACAAATAAATAACTTACAGGATGAGATTGATAAAAACAAAAATTGACCTTTTCATGACCCTACGAAAAGTATATCTCTCTCTGTCTATAACATCAAAGGTAACTCTTTAGTAAAACTGCTGAAATTTGCATGCACGCACACACAACCAACTGATTGTACAGTAAGCTATACTATTGGATAATCTGGATAAAATTTTCATGAACAATGGACTGTAAGGTAGACAAAGACAGTGTTTGGATTATCTATATAATGTATTATATTTCATTCTGTTTTTGTAACCCCATAATTATGGTGCCTTTTTTCAATAGATGAGCCCAATTGTACTGTTACATGCTAAGATTCTGGGCTCATGTCCTGATGACATGATCTTTTGATACAAACATTTGTCTAGTGTTCAGCATTTTGTTTTAATGTTTGATCAAACGAAGCATGAGTGTTCACTGATTGTGCACCCACAGGTGCTGATGGAGGAGATGCAGACTCTGGCCACAGGGTTTGAAGTAGATGGTGGACAGTTACGTTTCCAGTTGTACATTTGGCTGGAGCGGGAAGTAGAGGTCCTGCAATACCTTTGTAACTATGGTGATACAGATCCTGAAGGTCAGGAAGACGTACATGCAAACACAGATGGTAATATTGATTCAAATTTATCTGTTCTTATTCTTGTCGTGTATATATTCATTGCTTTTCTGGTTCGTTGATCATACACAAAAGTTTTAATGTATTACCTATATTTATCTTATAATACAGATGACATTGAAATACTACTGTCTAAATGATATAACTCAGATAGTGTACTAGTGTGCTGAGTAATCTTTGGTTATAATTGAAGATAAACACTTCTTTCAAAAATGAAAAAAAAACTCCGAAGAACAACTCCGAAGAACAAGAGCAAAAAGCTAAAAGTAATTTTAGTCAGGAGTATTTTTTATGACAGAGTTTCACAGCAGGAAAAATGGCTGTTTCCAACAGCCAACATATATCGAGAGAATCGAGAATCGAAAGTGCAGTATTGAAAACCTGATTTTTCAGCACTGAATGGCTACGATGATGAGACGTTAATGGAAGTGCAAACCAGCTTTACACGATCCATGTCCCAGCGGTCCGATTCCTCTTACAAGCCCACACTACACGAAGTCATTCTGGCTGAAAAGATGGACTTTGAGGCAAAGCTTGAGAGGATGGCTCGTCGTAAACAGTGGCTGAGGGCCAACCAACAGTTGCTGCGTACTCTGGCTAGTTACTGTGTACTTCAAGGAGCTGGGGGAGGAGGGCTGGCCTCTGTGGAGATGGAACTCCTGCTTCTCTTACAGGTAAGGTAACAAGGCAGAATTTATCTGGAAACTTGGACATTAATGATGTAAAGTATATTTTTAAATATGAAAGTTAACAAGGTAGGATTAATCCATTATCGAGAACAAACAATGAATTTAGGATATATCTTGTTACATATATGTCTGACAATCACATATTACTCTCCTGTTAAATTGAAAGATTACAAGATTCGTGAATTTGATGTCACAAAATGTCTTTCAATAGTCCTGCAAATTTTATTTCACTTAAACTTTTTTGATTTGTGTGAAGATTATCCACTATCCAAACGAAGTAAAACTACCGTTTTACAAGTCTGTACTTAGTAGACAAGTCTGTACTCAGTAGACAGGTCTGTACTCAGTAGACAGGTCTGTACTCAGTAGACAGCTCTGTACTCAGTAGACAGGTCTGTACTCAGTAGACAGCTCTGTACTCAGTTGAGAGGTCTGTACTCCGTAGACAGCTCTGTACTCAGTAGACAGGTTTGCACTCAGTAGACAAGTTGACAGGTCTGTACTCAGTAGACAGCTCTGTACTCAGTAGACAGGTCTGTACTCCGTAGACAGCTCTGTACTCAGTGGACAGGTCTGTACTCAGTAGACAGGTCTGTACTCAGTAGACAGGTCTGTACTCAGTAGACAGGTCTGTACTCAGTAGACAGGTCTGTACTCAGTAGACAGGTCTGTACTCAGTAGACAGCTCTGTACTCAGTAGACAGGTCTGTACTCAGTGGACAGCTCTGTACTCAGTAGACAGGTCTGTACTCAGTAGACAGCTCTGTACTCAGTGGACAGGTCTGTACTCAGTAGACAGGTCTGTACTCAGTAGACAGGTCTGTACTCAGTAGACAGGTCTGTACTCAGTAGACAGGTCTGTACTCAGTGGACAGCTCTGTACTCAGTAGACAGGTCTGTACTCAGTAGACAGGTCTGTACTCAGTAGACAGGTCTGTACTCAGTAGACAGGTCTGTACTCAGTAGACAGCTCTGTACTCAGTGGACAGGTCTGTACTCAGTAGACAGCTCTGTACTCACTAGACAGGTCTGTACTCAGTAGACAGCTCTGTACTCAGTAGACAGGTCTGTACTCAGTAGACAGGTCTATACTCAGTAGACAGGTCTGTAGTTTCCTATAAACTGACTGTGGATTGGTTATCTCTTAATTCTTCACATTTTACAATCCTATTTTTTCAGGAGTTACAACAAGACAAGCCCCAGCAGCAGTTACTGTCTCCTCTTCCATTCCCCACCACACTGCCACTGCTGTCAGCCAGTATTGCAAGTTCTAAGACAGTCATTGCAGACCCTATTCAGCACATCCAGTGTATGACTCAGGACCTTCTACATTCCATTGTTGAGTTGACGGTTCCTCCTGGGCTCGGCATCAACATGAACACTGTGCTTGTCATGCAGAATCTCAGTGTGGCATTGTCATCTTGTATCTATCAGTGTCTTTGTGATTGTGACAGCTTTGTTGTGTCACTGAATGAAACCCAAGGAACTTCCATGGATGGCTTTATGGCGTAAGTTTTAAAGTTAAACATTTCTAAGCTAAAAGCATTATATTCTAAGTATGTTGTAAGAATGCATTGATAAAATTTTTAAAACTTTTCTAGTTTGACAAAAACTGTTTATACCTTGTGGAGGAACAACTATATATGTCAAATCATAGGAAGGAAGAAATTTTCAATTATTTTCTAATCAAAGGTTTTAGGGCTTCACTTTAAACACGCAGTTTGTTAGTTCCTATTAAAGTTCTTGTTAACATTGCCTTAAGCAGTCCAGCAAAAAATACCCCAAGAAAGCAAAAACTAAGTATTTCTAATGCTAATAGCGTTCATACCTGGGACCATTTCTTAGAAGTCACACAAGAAACAAGAATTAACAATGGTAGCAACATGGTATTGTGTCATCTTGAGTGAAATATCAATTATTTCTTATATCAGGCACAACTTTAATAGCAGTCAGGCAGGCCACCTGATGGCAGGTGTACAGCGATATCGCCGCAAGTCAAGCACAGGAGACAATCTAATCAACACACCACCTTCAAAGTGGCCAGGAGTTACCTCCCTTAGGGTCTTGCTGGCTCGCGAGAAAGATGATGCTGCACCAAAGCTGAACATTTTATGCTGTGAGAGTCTGATCGCAGTGTATGTGAGTCTGCTAGTGAACGCCATGGCAATGTATGACTGTAACATGCTGTACCGACTTGTGTCACATCGGTTTGAACATCAGATGTGGGGAGCACTGTTTGGTGGTGGAGTGAAGACTGCTCTGAAGGTGGCTAACAATCCACATCCTGTGTCTATGCGTGAGTAACTGTAATCAATCTTTGTCAGTCAGATTTTCAAATTAAACATTGTCATTTCTTCAGTTTTCAGCTGTACCACAGTCATTTCACTCACCCTTGGTTGTCACATTGGTATTTGTGGACTTCTGACTGACCCCTGGTGAAGACTATGATTATGACTGTTATAGGGTCCGGTGATGACTTGTCCAAAACTAGGATGAAGCTCAACATGAAGGTGATCGGGGCAGGGCCAGGGACGAAGGAAAAGACGACCTTCAGAGAAACATTTGTGCCCCCAGAACTTAGCATGATCTCTTTCTTTATGACAAAGGTGTGTGGTTATTACTTGTAAGATTTCTCGTACTCTTAAACCCTCTGTTAATTTGTAATGTACCATACAAACCATGCTATGCATGATTAGAGCAAATTCTGACATGGACATAAAGATTTCATAGTCTTAAAAATACTGAAAGTTTACATATATACACATATTTGCGCTACCGTTAAATTTTTTCAATTTTTTTTTGTAATTGGAATATTATTCATCATTTAATTAAATTGTTAGTTCTGTACAACACATTGAATTTATTGGAGTGTAACTAAATACATTTGGTTGTGGAGGTATATCTGTAACAACTGTAAATGGGCTGTCATACTTGAGAGTTATTGCAATGTAAACATTGTTCATGTTTTGGACTCTTCAGCCATTCAATACCTCATCAGATAAGGAATTCCAGTACGATTCAGAAGAGTCTTTATCAGATGAGGATGAGCCATTTGATGATGAAGAAGATGACTATCTTAGACCTAAAACCTTGTATGTATTCTAATATATATAATTTATCCCTAAAATAATACAACCAAAACCCTGTCTGACACCTGTTTGACAAATAGAGGGGGAAAATGCTATGAACATCTAAGGGATGGGGATGAAAATGAGCTTAAAGAAAGTTTGTATTTGAGAAATTACAGTTTGAGGACATAACAAGGAACATATAAAGACACGGAGACCAAGTGATAAGTTTTGATTTATCGAGGATATTCAAATGATGCAAATTCAAGGAAGTGGTGCATGACTGTATAGATTAGATACAGAAACGTAATATTTAAAACATGTTCACTTGTCGAGGTGCTATGTATAGTTGAAAAGACCCTTCTTGATCATGTAATCAAGTAAAGTGGTTACTATGTTTTAGGGAGTTTAAGTATTTACTCTCATGGGTATGCCAGAATTAAATTGTAGTGTAATTGGTGTCCACAAGAGTATAAAGTTTAGCAATACCAGTAACCATTTGGTGTTTTACAACAAAGTTTTGAAGATGAAGAATTGCATTGCTCAAGTTTTTTTTCTGACAAGACTATGTTTTATGATTCTTGTCAGCTGTGTTTAGTGACTTTGCCTTTTATGTTTTGTGAATGTTATTGACTGTGATAAGTGAATTTGTCATTATTGTTGTGTATTTTTTGCTGACTGTGTTGTAATGACTTTGCCGTTATTGTTTTGTTTTCATTTTACCGTTTTCATGAAGTTACATTGTTTTGTTCAGGCCACTTGCTTCAACCCATCAGTCCACAGACCCAACGTCCTACTCCTGGGCTCTAATTCGCTTCTGTGTGGTCAAAGTTATCTTGCACAATCTTCAAGTCTTCCTACCACAGATCGGCATAGAGCTCCAAGGTAAGACTAGACTGGTAATCTGTCATGTATAGAACTTTTACTGTAATAGTCCTGATGAAGCCTCAATTTCAGAGGCGAAACTAGTAGACATAATAAAGGAAACACCCTCTTATTGGTAATGCGTGAGTATGTTGTGATTAATATCGGTTTTGCACATACTATTTAGTTTTTGTTTAATCGCCCTGCATACCATCTGGTATCCATACTTACAGCGAAGTACCCCACTAAACAACCACATATCCAGACCTGACGTTGGCTCCTTCCTTTTGAAGTCCTGATATATGATATATAAGATATGATAAGAATAGCTCTCAAATCTGTTTATCTCACGATTGTTCAGTGTATATACTTGTGTAATATTTTCATGTACTACCCACATGTAATTAGCTTATTGTGATATCACTTTAGATAATGAAACAACATCACACATATACAGATGGCATTGTGATGTAACAATTGAGATCATAGATAGAGAGCAAACATGCCTTCAAATTTGATTTAGAAATATCCATTTTCTACCATATTTGTGATAAAACTGATCTTAGATTCATAACCTAGTGATATTTATATGATCTTCCACGGGTTTCCATCTGATATATGATGCTTGTCCCAATTTTTTGTTTTAGCTCATCAGGGGCATGCTACAATGAAAAACTTAAAGACTTGCTTCATAAATTCACATATAAAATGAACTTATGTAAGATCCTATATTTATTGCTTACACTGAAGTTTTGAAATATATGTATATGCAACTTACCTTCCATGTGTGAGAGTGTCAGGTTGACCATCTGACAATCATGATTCACTTTCAGAACTACCTATCTGCTCCACACTAATGCATACAGTGTTAAAAACTCTGGAACAATGGATGGAGGTGCTACAGGGAAAACTAGAACTGTTTGCTGGACCACCTGAGGATTTTATCGCTGGTCTTCAGTTGGATGTCGTTACGGGTGTCCCACAGTCAAAGTACCAAGTGTTGCTTCAACCCCAGAATTCACCCTTCACGTACGTACTTTAGCTGCCTCCATCTCTCCTCAGGGTTGTAACATATTTAATCTCAGGGAATTAAATAGACATGTTACCTTACAATAATTAGGATATATAGGTATTAATATTGCTTTGAATCCTCATAATAATCATGATTCAAAATACAAAAAAAATAAATAAAAAAATCACAGCAGCCTCCTTACCAAAGGACAGCCCTAGTTTACCATAGGAAAGCATTTTATTTATAGGTATTCTGATGGATTTGTCATCAAAAGTAACCCTTAGTTGATCTCAATATTACCAGAGGAAATGATATTGCTGTTTGATGAGTGGCTGGTTTGATTTCTTTTCAGGGACAGCCATGTCTGTCTGCCAATCAAGAGACTTTGGTTCCATCTGCTTAAACAAGCTGCCCTGAAGGATGTCTTCCTGCGATACATCTACAGGAAGAAAAAGATTCCGCAGATGGAGGTAACATATAGCCTCATGGCGATACTATGTGTTCTCATTGTGATGCAATATGCTGTCATAGTGAAGCAAAGTGTTGTCATGGTGATGCAGTGTGTTGTCATGGTGATGCAATGTGCTGTCATGGTGATGCCATGTGCTGTCATGATGATGCATTATGTTGTCATGGTGATGCAATGTGCTGTCATGGTGATGCATTATGTTGTCATGGTGATGCAATGTGCTGTCATGGTGATGCAATGTGTTATCATTGTGATCAAAGCTTGGCAAAAATAAAACAAACTTTCCTATAGTTGTGAAATGCCATAATTTTGGGATCGAATTTACAGCTATACAGCTATAACATGGCAAAAATGAAAGGTAAAAACGTTTAAGTTGTACATGTTTTTTCGGCAACAGCTGATGATAATCTAATTTCTCAGAAAATCTTCAGCTGAAATGTTTTTAAAGTTGCATAGAGTAGTGTCAGTTTCAGCTGTAATGGTGGCCTCGGAGTGATATTTTAACACAAATTAAATATGTTGTAGGAATCTGTGAGTCAATCTGATATTCCTGATGGAAGCGTGAAGATACGTGACCCTATGAAGATTATTCACAAGGAACAAGATATCATCACTGCTTTTGCCCTCAATCAGGTATTTCTTTTTTTGACACTTTCAGTAATAGATCCTGAGCCTTGTCCTGTGTAGTTTATATGTAAGCAGCAGGGCCTTAACTCGTTTTACATCTGCAGGGCGAGGGCTGGTATAATTATTTGTAGCATTAGGGAATCAGACTTCAGATACATCATCACGACTACCATTAGTTATACAGTGTTGGGGACTACATAGATTCAGGTAGCTATATCTACAGAAGTAGGAGTGAAATTATCATTTTACATAATAATGAAGTAAATTTGAAGACTAGAAATGATGGATAGAAGCAGGAATGTCGCCAATGAAATATTTTACAGAGAAAAGTTGAGATTAAGAAGACTTAAGATCCCATACTTAAAAAAAGTGTAGATTCTAATCATTTAAGATTTATTCCATTCTCTTCAGGGGATAGAACGTTGAATAAGAAATTTTCTTGACAGGACAGTATTGAAATCTGTTCAGACAAATTAGTTACTAACATATCAAGCGAGACTAGGAGATCTGGTGATAAAGACATCATTTACTGACAGTTGTTGCTGGTGCTTTTCAGGAATCTGATTATTTTCTCCCTAAATATTTGATTAGCTCCCCTGTTTTTGGGATGGACTCATTAAAACTGTAACGTTAATTCTGTACACAGGAAAGGTGGGAGGGAAATCAAATTTATTACATTTTGGTCAGTGAAATATAGAGAAATATCTCCTTGATAAAAGTTATTTTTCACAAGTGAAAAGTAATACTTTTGCAGAAATACACCAATGAAAAGAGAGAACACAAATAGTCTATTTGAATAGACAAATCATAAAGCCTGGTACAAACAAATTCACAAAGTCAGAAACCTGCAGGCATTGTTTACTAGTAACACAACCTTCAGTTCCTTGGTAAACTTTCACTTTTCACCATGGAAGTCAGCAAAGAGTGCAACTCAAATGACCTTATCAGAGATCAAACCCAATCCCCAAAGCAAAGCTAGGCATTCTAAGGGCATTTGTGTCATCAACAGCTACAGTTAGATTGCTGCCATGTTTCAGCTGCATAGTAACTTGTTACAGGTTCAACTCTCTCTGAACGTTTTACAACAAATTTTGTCTGTTTATGATATAAGGTGACATTTTCGATGTGAATATAAAAATAAATTTACATTGAAATTTATTGTTGTGTTTTACATATTTTTTTTTTTAATTGGACTATATTTTGTCCCTCACTGTGAAGTTATAATGAGCGAGTAATATCCTCAGAAAGCATGGTTAGCCTCTTCCTTTTATATCTGTCCTAAAACATGTCAGTAATTTGGCTATTTTGCTTGTGATGATGTAATAAATGAATATTTAATCATGTCTTCAGTAATAACAGATAAATTTCACTCGTGTGTCTAACATTTTTGTATCTTTCACAAGTTCGCAAAGATATTAAACTATTAGACACATTTGTGAAATATATTTGATATTACTGAAGACACTGTTATGTATTTTCAGGATGATCTTTCTATTAGAAAAAATCACAATCATCCTTGAAATTAACTACGACATGGGATCTTGTTTCGTGATTCTATGTGTGTGGTAGTCTTTGATCTCCTCTAATTTAATAGAAAATTAACTTTCTCAGTCTTTTGTGATCATGCTTTCTGTTGTGATTTTATCTTATCTACATCCCCTGAATCTTTCTGATCTATCAGTTGGTCCTTAACACATGCTCTCATATTATTATGGTAATTGGTGTTGACTATATTCAGTGTTTACTTGTAAATCCTGTTACTAATGGTGACACTATATAATTAGTGTTTACTTGTAAATCCTGTTACTAATGGTGACACTATTTAAAAGATTAAGATTGTCCGCATTACTTTTCAGAATAATGTCAAGGTTGGTGTTTTCCAGGCTTTGTAAAGACTAACGGAGAATATTTACAACCACACAATACATACAAATATATACAATATATATATATATATATATATATCTATATATATATAAAGGGGGAGGGATAGTTACCTCATACGTCAAGCTACTAAATAAAAAAATATGTATTTTCATTATTTGCCTTCTAATACACTGCAAAGACATTATTGCTCAAACCATTTTAACCATTATTCTACTACCACATTGGAAGACTTTTATGTATTGATGAAAGAATTATTTATCTATTTAATAGTTTCCTACTAATGAAAAACTCACCACCTGCCTTTCCCTGTGACTGTGGTAAAATTTGTCAGTAGCGGCTTGACTCCACACACTTCGTATAAAGCATCAAATTGTCACAGACAAGTTGGAGTTGTAGGGTTGTTGGGTCAAGGTCAAAGTCACCATAACTATTTTTCAAAAATTTTCACCACCATTTTGAAGGTTTCATTCCTTTTAGGATTTTGATCAAATCTCAGACATGTAAAAACAACCATAATGATTTATACAAGCTAGTTTGTGTTTCGGTGTTGTTTGGCCATGGTCACTTTTACTAATCTTAAGAGAATCATGATTGACGCTCTAGCTGCTTCAAGGTCAAGGTCACCAGTACTATTTTTAGAACATCATTTTCAACATTTTAGTGGCTTCATTTCTTAGGGGTTCTCATGAACTTTCACATGCTCATAACTCTTATAAAGCATTAAAATATCTTGGATAAGTTTAAGTTTCAGTGATGTTGGGTCAAGGTCAAGGTCACCATTACAATTTTCAGACAATGATCAAATCTTTATCAGTGTTCTAACAACTTCATTCTTACAGGATTTTGGTCAAACCTCACTCACAATTGACCATAACACATTATTACAAAATTGGGATTGAAATTATATTGTCATACTAATTATTGCTTTGTTACATTAAAATTAGTTTTAAAAAATGTCCATTTGTCCGTCATGTTGCATTGTGTCCCATTTCCAATCAATGCTCTATTTCGAGAACCTTTCAACAGCTCTGATTTATATGATAATACCCGATCAGTATCATAACATCAAGTTCTACACATATTAGGGCGGTCATCAGTCAAGGTCAAAGAGTCAAAGGTCACATTTTACAGCTTGTGCAAATTCATCCAACAATTCTTTTTTTGTTTTCTGAGTGATCATTTTCCATATTTTCTTTGTTTTTTTTTCATTTTTTTTTTTTTCAGGAAATGTATGATACGAATGTGTTTTTATTTTGCTTTTTAATTATTAAGATTTTAATCACAATCTAACATTTCACGTTAGACTCTTAACATATGGATGCAATTAATGATATGTAACACCTGCTAACATTATCTTTGAATATTCAGTAATAATCAGCTATTTATACATTTAATGATGAACAACTGTCCAAATCACCCTAATCTGTCGTTCAACTGTTGAAGATCACATCTTTCTTAGTTTTCACGAGAATGTTGATACTTAATGAGATATAGGATGATATTTCTATTTTATATTTAAGTAAAATTGGTTAAGTGTAGTTTCTCAGAAAGTACTGAAAGGATCTTTCTAAACTTTTTATCGGTAAATTCTCCTGGGTCCTTAGATATGCATAATAAATCATAGTGCATGTTGAAAATAATTGCATTTCCTTAGAAAAATTTACGAAATTTAGAAAAATTGGAAGAATTTTTTCTCTGTTTAACCATGAAGGTTCAATTTAGTCCTTAGATGTACATATTGAATCATAGCGTTTGTTGAAAAATAATGGCATTTTATTAGAAGAATGGAAGAAATTATTCTCAAATTAACCATGTCCGTTTAATTTGGTCCAAACTTTACTTAGTATCATATTTGTCAATAAATTGAACCAGTGACCTCATTTTGAAATGACAATGATGTTTATAAAATAATATGTGTTACCACAAGGTTCATAGACTATTCACATGATTGTCAATACACCAAATTGTTGAGGTCAAATAATAGATGGAAAGAAAAGATTAGAACCAATAAAGATACTACAATGGTGGGTGCCAGGATCCTTATATATTGTCTCATTTTTGGTTGCATTCATAAATGTTTGTATCATTTGTTGAAGAATAAAACATTCATATCATCCTTAGAATTCTCATTTATATGAATCATTTTTTGTTTTCAAATCATTGAATATTTTCTCATTGTATGAAGAAGGGATAGTTTATATATTTACTGTGACATGTAGATAAGTACAAGAGACCTGAAATATATACCTGTTTTTACTTACCTGGTTTCATTATGTCAGCTAAAACATATTCACTGAAATTTACAAAAATAAGGTAACTTATTGTAATGGTAAAATGGGTAATTGTGTGTTAGTGTTACTAATGATATCATTTTGTCTCATTGTGTGATGCTCTGATTAGGTCGACTATTTGGAGGTGAGTTAATTTCACAGCTGTGTTGTTCTAATTTGTGATCTACGCCTACTTCATGAGAGTTGTACTTAATAAATGTATGCTTATTTGCCTCTAGAGAAAATTGTTGGCCCCCTCTCTCTCCTTTACACCATCCTGAAGCATCCTCCATTTCTTGCCAGTTGTGAATATTTGCAAATATATTGTAGATGTTGGCTTAAAGCTTTGAAACAATTTTGTCATTTAGACAGTGGAAGTGCTGCTACATCTTTAAATCGGTGTTTTCTGAAATTGTTTTAAATTACAATGTATTAAGAGATCTGCAGTATTGTGATTTAGAAATACAGGTACTACAATGAAACTCTCCTTAGCTTCCTTTAAATGGGTCTGTAATAAGATTTAACAGAAAAATCTTCTTGAAACTTAGAAAAAACCTGGGCCAAATTTTGTATAACCTTTAATTAATTTATGTTAAAAAGGGAACAAATTTAGTTACATTTAGGTAAAAAAGACAGATCCCTGTTCAATTGACATGAACCATGAAAATTATCAGGCTTTCTGCCTGAAGTGCAGAGAATTTTTTTTGTAAAAAAGTGCAAATCTCATGAGGTATTCCAGGACTGGAATATTTATCCTTGTTTTATCAGATAACCAAGTCTATACCCGCCAGTGAAATAGTGTTCTGTTTTTGTTAATCTCAAGTCCAACATTAGAAAACAAATCTTCAA